CGGATGGCCATGGCCCCTCAGTATGGGCTTTTCATGACCATCCACTTCGGTGGTACGGAGAGTAGTAGAAAAATGGTTCTTGTTTGGCATACACTGTAGGCGAACACCTGGTCAAACCATCAAACCTGTTGGGTTTTCCCTTAGAAAAGAACCCGGTCTTTGCATGCGAAGACCGCTATTTTTCATGGGAAACCCGCCGGGCCACTGGTACTCTCGGACACCCGGACACCCTTGGCCTGGGCGTTGGCCCACCCGGGCCAATCCTCTTCAGGAATATGGGGGTGTATAGAAAAAATAGGGGACTCCCAACCAATGGCACCCAATGGTTTTTAGTGAATTTCCTTTCTTCCAAGGGGTCAAACTGGGAGGTCTCCCCTAGTTTAATACACACCTCTCTTTTTTGTTCTCTCTCTCTCTCTCTGAGAAAAGCAGCCTTTTTGAAGGAATCCTTCCGTTTGGATCGGTCGGGGTGGTTCACCACTGTTCTCGGGGCCCCAAAAATGCCCTTGTGAGTGCCCCTGTGTTCACTGCTTTTCTCTCTTTTTCTTCAGCCCCTTCACCAAGTCTCCGCGCGGAATTGTGACCCGGGTCGGCTCATGTCCGTGAGCCTTGAGCCTTTAAGGGACAAAGGTCCCTGGTGGTGTTCCAGTAAAACTGAAGTACCAGGAGCTACAAAGGGGTGGTGTTTAGTCCCTCAAGTGTGACTGGATAGGGGAAAACCCCGGCATGGAACTGCTGGTACATATGATCATGTCGGATCCCTTTGCAGATATTAGACTTACAGTATATGAAAAGAGAAGCTTGGTTAAAGAGATCTTCCACGAGTTCCAGAACGTCACGGTGCTATCCATGGAGGGAATCGGGGTGCCCAGAACGTCACGTCCACGGCCCCTGGATGGGACCAACAACAACCCAACTCCATGTGACTCCAGAGCTTGTTGAAACCTCCCATGGTCGTGTTTGGACCTCAGATTTTCTGATTGACCTGTGGAGGTGGACGACCGAAAAGACACAACCTTAAGCACGACAACCTCCCGACTCGGGCACTTGACTGGTTCTGGGATCTCCTGGCATCTCTTGGCCATTGAGATTGGATTCTTAACAGAATCTTGGTTCAAAACACGGACAGATTCTTGCTTGCAAAGATCTTCTTCTCTAAAAAACCAGCGACGCGTGAACTCTCCCCCTGTGTCAAAACAATAATAAATCACCCCACTTGCCACTGAACCATGGTCGTCGTTGAAACGGTGAGGCCGGCAACGGGTCTACGGCATCCCGTTGCGGTTGATCCATTTGAGCGTCACGGCACTTGGTGCGGCGCTGGCGCGTCACGCCTCCACGTGGGCCCGGGGGGAATGTGTTCAGCTTGATGGGTTAGTTATTGTTCAAGTTGAGGAAGTTCAGGGGCCAACTCTGGAAATGATTGGACATGTTGGAAGTTGGGGGAACATAAGTGTTTTATATGTCTTTTAATATGTGGAATGTATATTCTGAAGTGTTGAACGTATTCCACCGGTCGAAGAGGAGAGGAGCAACTCGCCAGGTTGTAGGAACGGCTCGGTGAGCACCAGTCCTTGTGGTGAGCACCTCTTGCCTGTGGAGCTCGGCAGGTGTAGGACGTTTTGAGGTGAGCTTCCATGAGATTCAGAACCCCAGAATCCCACATGTATAGCCACAATTAGGCGCTATAATATTACATTATTTTGTATTACAATAATAATGTGTGGTGGAAGGTCAATATACTGAGGACGTAGGGGTATCCGTCGAATCTACGGAAAGGTTTGGATATATCGCATATCGATAGAAATCTCTTGCCATATCCGTTGTTCTTTGCACTGCGCCACTGAGGTCCTTTGGGGGGAACCTGGACTGTTGTGTGGAAGTTGAGATTTAAAGGGACATCGGATATCAGCCTCAAGATGAATGGAAAGAACGACACTAAACTAGTTCTTGTGGTTTTGCGGTGCTTATACTTGTACCGTAGGTGAGTTGGGTTCAACAACCAACCCAATTAAGCATCCAAAAAACAACCACCGCTCCGGTGAACCGGATTTCTTCCACCAAGATCCGAGATCCGCTGATAAGACCTACTTAGATCCGAGACGAGACGATCCGAGATCCTCCGAGATCCTCCGAGATCACACTCAGGTGGTCATCTTCACGGTGGCCCAGAGCACCCTCGACACCATGTCTCTCGTGGGCACGGGTGCCCAGCGGCACCAGTGTGGGCCGGGGAGAAACCGTTGGTCGACCGGTGGGGAGGTTCACAGAGAAGCCCAAGACCGAAGGAAATAGATCCAAGAAGACGATCATGGCAGGAATTCAAGTCACATGTTCGAAGCACCAAACGAAGGTGAACTCATTTGGTATGGCTCTTTGGGCTCCCTCCTTTGTGAAACAAGCGCGGACACACCTGCACCACTTGCACCACTTGCTGCTTTGCACCGGTTGTTTATGCTGGGTTCTTGCTTGAAAGTAGATGCTGATGGTCAAGCCGGCCACGAAGACCCATGCCAAATCCCCTCGGCTAACAGCACGTCCGTCAACCCATGGGGTGTGGGTCATGGCACCTGCAGACCGAAGCGACGTCAGTAGGTTGACCAGGTTGACCGTCGTCACTTCAGTGAAACCATTCGGTGGTCCACCCGGTGCCTGGTTGAAAGACCCACGGCCATAATTAATAACCTCTGAATTGGATGGTAAAACGGCTTCTTGTGGGGGGGGTTATTAATCTAAGAGTTTGCAATTGGTAGTCAACCTATAGGATGGTGGTGACATCAAGCTAAAAGACTACAGTGACATACGGAGACCGATTACAGGCTATGGTGAACATAATGAAACTCAATCACCATTCTTCTGCCATGCTAGCTGCTAGGTGAAGCTCCTTTGTGTTGAGGGATGAACATCCATGCGTTCCCAGTCTCTCTTTATACCCCTTTCACACCACCATTGACGACTGACGTGCTCCATGGAGGGCGCCATAGAAGATGTGTTTCCGTTCCGGACGCTGTTCCCTTTGTTTTCAGAGGGTTGCTGTGTTAACACATCAGTGCAGATCCTTATCCTATAAGAATCCTTTCAAGACTTCAACCGACCAATCCTTTGCTTCTCCGGTCGCACCACTCCTTTCAATCTCCTTTCAATCCGGTCGCGCCGTTCGAGGTTACATCTTGACCTTCTTCTTCATCGCTTTGGACATCGTCCGAGTCCCGGGGTCTCTTTCCGAACCGCCACGGCCCGTTGGGCCGAGGATTCGGGCCGGGCTGAAGGGTGTTTGAGCTTGTGATTTGGGATCCAAGGAGATTCAATAAGCGTGTGATTGAAGATTGAAGACCAACACATTCTAGCTGCATTTATTTTATGTGGACATCTTCAAAAGGAGCCTTTCTTTGGACATCTTCAACCTTCCGCCTCGGTCGCGACCGCAAAGCCTTGTTTGGGGAAACCGGGGTTACTCCAAGAAAGATATAATCTACGTGGGAAGTGGACAGTTTGATAAACTATATACCAGCACCCTCCAGCAGGTGCTTCCTGGTGACAACAGGTACCCAGAAACCACCTGTTAGGGTCTCCAAACAACCTGTTGGAAGGTGCTGGTATATGATGAACTTGTATTTTCCACAAGATTCAGGCCCTGGAGTCAGATACTGTATGATACTGCATGGAGTCCGGCAGTCTGTTACTATTTGACCGGACTTCACACTGACGTAGGCAGTAAGCTTCCCCCCGGAATCCGAAGGGAGGGGACGCAGAGTTAGTTAACCACTCCCAGCCAATGTCGCAGGTCCTCATGATAGTTGGAGAATGCCTCTCTATCATCAACATCATCCAGTATTCTGGTCAAGGACTCCTGTTCTTGTTGGTTATTGTAATCATTCACCATGCATAGGTGCTTTTCAATCTTTTCCTGATGCTTCCCTTTGGATTCTCACTCCGATGGTCACAGAGACGACATGCAAGCCTGGTCAGACCCATCGAATGACAGTTCCCATCTTTCGAGCTGCTGTGTAGCTGCTGTGTAGCTGTGTAAGGGAGCAAAGTCACACAAAGCCGGGCACAAGTGTGCTTGATTCATTAAGGCTATGGGTCTTTCAACCAGGCGACAACCAGGTTGACCACCGAATTGATTCACTGAAGCGACTACTAGACATACTAGACATGGTCAAAAGAAGTCCCCAGGGTGTTCGTTCCGGGGCTCCTAGTGCCATATGACCTTATTCGCCACATCATTCGCTCATCACGATCATCACGATCCTCTTTCTGTAAGTGACATAGGCCCACATACTACCCAGTAAGGTAGGGCATGGTCACAGGAAGGGCATAGTGAGCACCCACCAGTAATCCTACCGCCAGCTTTGCTGCCAGTTTGATGGGGATCTCTCAATGCTGACGAGCTACAGGCCTGCCGAGAGCTCCGGAGTGGATCAATACTGAGTATTTCTTAAACTTGGTTCTCCAAAAGATCACACAGGCATCCTCATCCTCATGGTTTACAGCGTTTTCCATACAACCACCTTTGGGGGATTGTGCTCCTCTGCTCTCCGTCTATATAGACAGGAGTGATGTCTTGTCGTTGCTTTTGGGTGCTTTCAGGCCTTCGGAAACTGAGGGGCTGTGGTGTTTGGCAGTGCCAGACTGAGCATAGGTAAAGCCAGACTCAAGAAATTGCCTTATGTGAAACAGTCAATGAGCATGGCAGTTGAACATCCTTGGAGGTCAGGTGGCTAGGCATGAAACCATGCATCCACGCCGCAGAGCGCTCTTGAGTATCAAGCAAAAAGGTGCCTTCATTCCGGTGCGCCGCCACGCGGATTTTGATGGTAGGCGGAGCCGCTTAGCTGCGGCATCTGCTAGCGCGGCACGCAGCTGCCTCGCGCCTTGCGCGCTCGACCTTCCTGGCGGCCGTTCGACGGCGAGCGACCGCCCTGGCCTTCGGCTGCTGCGCTGCTGCCGCCTCGCGCTGCCGCGGACGCAGATCCTGGGCCCACGCCCTCACTACGATGTCGGCACGCCTCGAATGTGACCGACATGGAGTCCCGCAGTTCGACGGGACGGCAGATGTGTTTGAAGAATATGAGGAACGGGCTTGGGACCTGTTCTATGGAAGAGCTGGCAACGACGCCACCCAGATCGCCACACCGATCCACCTTCGTTCAGGGCTCACGGCCGCTGCTTATGATGCTGTTCGCAAGCTGAGCCATGAATCCCTGTGCACTTCGAGGGATGGAAAGGCGACCGATGCTGGCATGAAGCTCCTCATCCGGACTCTCAAAGAGTCCATAGCTGCTGAAGTTCCGGTGAGGATCAACGAGCTCTTCCTGACCGCCTTCTACTCGCCCCAGGTTTGGAGAAAGCCCTCAGAGACGATGCAACAATATATTGTGAGAAGGGAGCAGGACTTCAACCGGCTGCTGGAGGCATCATCTGGCACCCAGGTCTCCGACAACCTCCGCAGTATGATGTTGCTGATCTTCTCCGGCCTGGACCACCGCGAGCAGTTGAGCGTCCTTGCAAGTGTTGGCAATGAGTATGACTTCAAGAAGATTAGTCATGCCCTGAGGATTCAATACCCTCAAGCCACGGGCAAGCCACTTGCAAGAAGAGATTATTTGGGGGCCAGTCGAGGCTCACGAAGCTTCAATGATGGCCCACCTCAGAGCCGCTACAAGTGGAAGATGACCCAAAAGGCTCGTTCAGTTTTGGCTGCAACCCATGAAGATGAGGATGATGACCCTGCAGCCGACCTCGGCGAAGAGATCTTCTACGAAGATGAGGTTCCTGAGGATGACGAGCCGGCAGATGAGGCCTTCGTGAACTACTCCGACGATGAAGAGTTGGAGGCCCTCCTGAGCGAGAATCGAGAACTGCTAGATGATTCCCAGGTGGCTGAAGCATACGCCACCATTGCTCAGTTCAAGAAGAAGAAGCAGTTCAGCACTTCTCCCAAGAAGAGCTCAGGAGGACAAGGTGGTCCATATCCCTTCAAGGCCACCGGAGAATTGAGTTTTGATGCCAAGGCCAAAGAACAGCGCAAGTCAGCTGTTCGCTTCTTGAAGAGCGTCACTCCATGCACCACTTGCGGCCAGCGTGGTCACTGGTCCGGCGATGCAGAATGTCCTCAACGCTCCAACACCAAGAAGGGCAAGGGAAAGGGAAGTCAGGCTAAGAAGACAGCCTCACCGAAGAGGACATCGCAATCCTTCTTTGTGCTCCACGACCAGATCGAGTCTGATGAAGAAGCTGAGGTTCAGTCCACTGAGACCTGCAACCTGAAGGACTTCCAGCGGCCCTTCCATGCTGCTATGGAGAAGGAATGGTCCGCCCTTGTCACCAACAATGTTGTTTTGGAGCATCCTGTCATCAACATCGCGGACACCTCTGAAGTGCCACCGAAGGACATGGATCATGAGAATGCCTTGCCCCCAACGTATGACCTGATCCATGAGTACGCCGACATGACGGCGAATGACCCAGTCCTCGACTCCATCGACGGCACTGGACGGAATGCAGACGCCTACATGATGGCGAATGACCCGGTCGCTGACCCCTCCGACGGCAATGGACCGGGAGCTAGTTTCACCGCTTCCAAGTTTTCCGAATGCTTTGTCAACTTCAAGAGCCCAATCCTCTGCGAGCATGCCCGAGGAAATGGTGGTCCTGAGCGTCAATATCATCGTGGAGCAAACGGCCACACGAGACACCTCTCCTGCAAGGATTGTGACAAGACTGTTTTGGTCGCCCGCCGGAAAGAACCTGTTCAGTTGTGGGGCTACTTGGTCCAGGTTCTCATGGCCACAAAGTGGGGATCAGCACTTCGATCCGAGGGTCTCTACCGCTATGCAGGCCGACTGACTCACGAGTACGCTCGAGAACGAGATGGACTACGTCCTCTACCACCACCTCGCGGTTCCTCCGCTATGTCAGCTGCGCCCTCAGCCTGGGAGTTGGTTGCACCGAGCACTCCTTCAGGCTATGTCAAGTCGCCTTCTTCACCAAGTACCACTTCGGAAATGTCAACCGCACGGATCGTGCGACAGCCCAGGCACCAGGCCTGGCTCTATGGAGTGCAGCTTGCACCAGGTGTTGAACTTCCGCCATTTCCACCACTTGCGGAAGGTGATGAAGACATCTTGATCCCTTTGCCTTCGGATCAGGAACCTTTGATGTTGGAGCAGGGAACGATTCCTTTTGCAGTTGCTTCTGCCTCTCCCGAGTACGAGCCCTACTGCCAGCAGGTATTGAAGCATGCCTTGGACAATCAGCCCATGGACCCGACGGTCTATCGCTTTGCCTTCTACCTGTACGGCAAGGTCAAACTGGCATGGGCAGCTGGTCACCGACTCGTGAAGGGTGCTGGATCTTCCGCTGCCAAGCGAGGCAAGCCTGATGACATGACCGGCACGAGGTACATGATCTTCCCTGTACGAGCAGACCCATCTATGCCTGCTCAGGTCCAAGAGTGCGAATGCATGATGGTTGCCTCCGAAGAGATCGAGGAGAACGTCAAGTATGAGGCCTTTGCACTCGAAGCGCAAGACCCTCCAGGCCTGGCCATCCTCGACTCCGGCTGCACAAGAACCATGCACGGTTCAGAATGGGCACATCGCTTTGAAGAAGAGATCTCCAAGTATGACCTGGTGCCCAAGGTCCGTGACAAAAGACAAACCTTCAAGGGCATTGGAGGAGCAGCCGAGTCCAAGATTGTCAAAGTTTTCCCAGTTGGCATTGGAGGATCACATGGAGTCATCCACTCTGCCGAGACCGACGGCCAGACACCAATGCTGATCTCTCGACCTTTCATGCAGGCCCTTGGAACCATCATCGACTTGAAGAACAACACCGTGTCCTTCAGCGAGCTTGGCATCAGTTCACTGCCACTTCATCGCACTCGGAGAGGACACTTGGCCATTAGCCTGCTTGACTTCAGCGACATCAAGTCCAACATCGACTTTGAAAAGGCTCAGATCTCAGAGTTCCCTGAGGAAGAGGTCTACATCCATGACGAGACCTACGAGCTTCCCCTTGATGCCCGCATCGACTATGATGAGTACGACATGAACCCCGATGACTGGGCAGACCAACAAGAATGGTTGGATATGATGAGGGAAGAGGTCGCCATGACCAAGATGTACGAAGCCCGTCAGGGACCCTGGGCCAACAAACCTCCTGATCCACCTGAACCAGATCAAGCGTTGTTCCTCGACCTTGATGAGCCACCAGATGATGGCCACCACTGTGATGATGAAGACATCTTCCTGTCCATGGTTGATGAGGGACACTTCACTACACGGAAGCCAAGTTCCAAAAAGGGCAAGAAGCTTGAGTCCATGAACCTCTCCCTTGATGGCGACGACTACAATCGCTCTCGCATCCTCAAGAATGAGAACACCATCAAGGTGAAACGCCGACCTCCTTGCGGCAAGACATGGTTCAAACAGCTTTTTGCTGGGCAGCTGGGCATTTCCCTCCTTGGCATCTTCATCGGCATGAGCATTGGCATCCCCTTGGATATCACTTCACGCTCTTGGGATGCATCTACTTCTGCTGGTCGCCGACTGTTGCATCAGGACTATCAGGTCGAAGACCCCTACTGCACGATCATCACCCATCCGTGCGGACCTTGGGGATCCTGGTCAAGATTCAACCTTGCCAAGGGAGGTCAAGCTGCAGAGACTGTCAAGGCACTCCGTGAATCCAACCGTGAAGTCCTCAAGACTGTCAACAAGACTGTGAAGGACAGACTTCGAGCCAAGCGACATGTCTTCATCGAGCAGCCCGCCGGAACTGAGTCGCTATGTGAAGATGAGATGAAAGACATTATGAACTACATCACCTCCGGCGACCTGATCCTGCTCCGTGTTGATGGCTGCATGGTCGGCTATCACGACCGAGAGAGCAAGTTGCCCCACTACAAACCGTCAATTTACATCACCTCCATGATTGCTGCAGAGTCCATCTTTGCCAACAAGTGCTGCAGCAGAGACCACCGTCACGAACCTCTGGAGGGAAACAACACCTATGGTTCTCGGACTACACAAGCTGCTGAATGGCCCGAGAAACTCAACCAGTTGGTCCTGGACACCATCATCCAACAAGCCGCAATCGAGACCGAGGCTCACTCAGGTGTCCACGAGGCTTTTCCCAGTGAAACCCGAGGTCATGACCAAGGTCAAGGAGGCAGTCCCAAAAGACAGAAACTGCGACGAGGTCGAGTCGCCACACTTGGCTCCAACTTTGGCACACCACCGGTCTACATCCGACCTGGCCAATTGGAAGATCCACTACCTCAAGAACCACGATGATGATGGGGCACCACAAGACGACCATGACTTCAGGGCTGAACGTGCAGCCGCCTTGGATCCCATCCTCAACATTGGAGAAGGTGAACGTCGCCAACAGTGGCTCCAGATCGATCCTGAGATCAGAAAGATCCTCCGTGACCTCCACACCAACTTTGGTCATTGCACGAACACGATCCTCCGTCGTCAAGGTGCAAAAGAAGAAGCAATTCGAGGAGCTGGACTTCTGGCCTGCGATGCCTGTGGTGATAGCATCAGAGCCAAGAGACCAAAGCCAGTCAGACTTCCAAACAGATATGAGTTCAACAGGCACATCCTGACGGACACCTTCTTTGCAAAGGACAGTGCCAACTCCACCTATGCCTTCTTGAACATTGTTTGTGATGCCACCGGCTTCCAGGTTGTTTGTTGTATGGGCCTACACTCCGGAGTCCCGTCTTCAAGTGTAGCACTTCGCCATTTTGCAACTTCCTGGACTTCATGGTGCGGGCTCCCTCACAGTATTCAAGTTGATAGAGGAAAGGAGTTCATGGCAAGGTTCGCAGACCACCTCAAGACCTTCGGCATTGAGCAAGAGGTCATGCCCTTGGAAGCTCCATGGAAAGGTGGACGCTGTGAACGAGCTGGCGGTCTTTGGAAAGATCTTTGGATCAAGACATGCCTTGAGTGCCAAATCGTTGGATTAGATGATGTCATCCTGGCCACCGGCATTGTCACTCAGACCCGCAACAGCTTTCCACGAAGTAATGGATACTCACCCAACCAATGGGTGCTTGGTGTTCCCGAACTCCGACTACCTGGCTCACTGCTCACGAATGAAGCCGGACAGCAACTAGAAGTTCTTGAGGCAGCTGAAAACCCACAATCACAGATGGCAAAGACACTGCAGATCCGTGAAGCTGCCCGTGTTGCTCAGGTCAGACTGGACACAGACTCTCGTATTCGCAGAGCCCTTCTTCGTCAGAGCACTCCAACAAGAGGACCATACCCGATTGGATCCTACGTCTACTTCTACAAGAAGCAGCTTGGTCCCCAGCGAGTGACTGACAAACGACAGTACAACTGGTTTGGCCCAGCGAGAGTGATTGGTGTGGAACTTCGCAACCCACGTCGTTTAGAAGATCAAGATCCACCCACTGAAGGCGGTCAACCACACTCCTATTGGCTTCGCTATGGACCTTCCGTTGTCTTGGCCACAGGTGAGCAACTCCGATTCGCTTCTGAAGACGAGCTTTTGGCCGCTCACTGCATTCCTTCTTATGCAGTTCACTTCGTGGTGCTCGCAACTATGTCGACGCCCGGCCACTCCAGCTTGAGAACCTCAACCTGCCAGGGGGTTCCGTCGTCGATTTTTGGCATGTTTCTGGCGATGGCCGTGTGGTTCGTGTGCATCAACAACCACGATTTCTTCTATTTCATCCCGCTGACCAAGGCTGCCCTGTTGACTTGGACCGGCTCCAGGATGTGCGAGTCACTGAAGCCATCTACACGGCTGAAGCAAGAGATCACGCCCTGACTGACACCATTGAAGATGATTGGCGTGCCAGCGATCCACAAGAACAACGTCCACTCACCTTCCAATGGACAGGCGAGACCATCTTCTACCTAATCAACCAGCCAGATGGCGATGACGGCGACATGGTCTACACACCATCAGTGCCGCCCCAAGACCTACCAGGGGGGTGAAGATCTTCCTCCAGTTCCGGAGGACAATGAACTTGATGCACCACAACCGCCACAGCCACCAGCTCAGGAACCACAGCAAGAGATAAGGACGGGCGCCGCCCTTCCTCGGCAAACCAGTGTGGCCGAACCAGAGCCACAACCACTTTCCAGGCTCAATACGCCGCCTGATCCACAAGCAGGACGAGCGTTTCCACTTCATGTGCCACCAACTCCGCCAGTTGGCTTCAGGCCACCGCAGCCCACGGCAACATTGGACACTCGATGGTTATGGCCCCACCACGTCCAATAACCAGCCCCGGGTTTACCCCGGACCGTACCTGGCCGATCCATGGCCCGATGAGTGCAATGACCTCCAGGCCAATTCTGGTCTGAAAGAGCTCCGTCGCCTCCAAGGCCAAGAAGACGGAGAAACCTCCTCTGACGTTGAGGTCACTGAAGACCCACCAGCTGGACCCTTCGAAGAGGCAATGCTCACTGGAAAGGCTGCAGTTCGCTCAGAGATCAATCTCGCAGCTCTCTCACCAGAAGACCGCCTCAAGTTCGATGCCAGCATGGAGAAAGAATGGCTGAGCTGGCAGAAGTTCAGCGCTGTGGAGATCCTCACGGATGAACAGGTCCAAGCACTGCCCGACGATTGTCAGGTGATCGGCACGCGGTGGGTTCACACCGACAAGAACTCCAAGCCTCGAGCACTGGCAATGGCCCTCGCTCGCAAGACGGGCAAGTCAGAAGATCAGATCAAGGCCGAGTACCCGTTCGAAGCAAAGTCAAGAATGGTGGTACAAGGGTGCCAAGAACAAGATCCAGGCATCCGCAGTGATTCACCTACAGCATCGCTCCTCGCCTTCAACTTTGTTACGGCCATCACCGTTGTCATGGGATGGACCATTGAGGCCTATGATGCCAGCACGGCATACCTTCAGAGCCAAGGCATCTCAAGGCTGCTGATCTTGAGGCCACCAAGGCCTCCACCTCCGGGCATCTCTCCACTCTCACTGCTGAGAGCAAAAGGAAGTATCTACGGCACTCGTGACGCCGGGCGCTCTTGGTGGAGAAAGCTCTATCGTGTGCTCCTCAGCAAGCAATGGGTGATGAGCAAGCTGGAACCTGCACTCTTCTTCCTCTACGAGGACAAGAACCTGACCGGCATCCTGATCTCTCATGTGGATGACCTCTACTGTTCCGGCATTGGCAAGCTCTATGAAGAGTCAATGCGTATCCTCGAGAAGGAGATCTACCTGAAGAAGAAAGTTGGTGAGTTCCGCTTCTGCGGGAAGAATGTCAAGCAGCTCCCAGACGGCTCGATCGCTGTCGATCAAGAAGATGCAATCTGGAGCCTCGACTATGTGGTCCTGGACAAGAAGCGACGTGCTCAGCCAAATGCACGCCTGACCGAGCCTGAGAAGACACAGTTCCGAGCCCTCATTGGCTCACTTGGCTGGATCGCGCGCCAGACGCGACCAGATGTTTTGGTGAATGTCAGCATCGCTTCACAACAGCTGGGCTCTCCCTCCATCAAGGACATGGTGGACCTGAACAAGGTGGTCCGAGCCTTGAAAGAGACACCAGCTGAGAAGTGGAACTTCATCAAGCCTCCGTGCGAGCTCAAGGACCTGGCTGTCTTTGCCATGTCCGACAGCAGCTTTGCCAACACCAACGGCTTGAAGAGCCAAACCGGCTATGTCGTCGGCCTTTGCACCTCCGAGATCACCACCGGTGTTCCCACGGCCATTTTGGTTTTGGAGACCTACAGTGGCAGCATTAAGCGGGTATGTCGCTCGACTCTGGCTGCTGAGACGAATGGGTTTTTGACGGCCGCTGAAGCTGCCGACTATGTGAGGTCGCTCCTGCTGGAACTCCAGCATCCTGGTTGTCGCATGGCGGACCTTGACCGCCACTTCGTGAGGGGAAAGCTCCATCTTTTCACGGATGCCAAAAGCCTTGAGTCGACGCTCAATAAAGACGCAGGGCAACCGAACGACAAACGGGTGAGAATCCTCCTCGCCCAAGTGAAGGAAATTTTGGACCGAGCGGCCGACGACGAGCCAGACCTCCAGGTCCTTTGGGTTGACACAGCCCAAATGCTGGCTGATGTTTTGACTAAGGTCGGCTGTGAGAGGGAACCTCTCTTGGAAGCCCTTTCAAAGGGGACCTGGACTCTCCAAGCTTCCACCGAAGCCCTAGCAAGGAAGCAAGCCATCAGAGATGGCAGAAAACGCAGAAAGGCTGCCGCCAGACCCCCAAAGGATGAGGACGGGTGTGAAACAGTCAATGAGCATGGCAGTTGAACATCCTTGGAGGTCAGGTGGCTAGGCATGAAACCATGCATCCACGCCACAGAGCGCTCTTGAGTATCAAGCAAAAAGGTGCCTTCATTCCGGTGCGCCGCCACGCGGATTTTGACCTTATATATTTCCAGGGCCCAGACTCTCGGCAATGATGTGCGTACCAGAAATACACTCACTCAGCACCAACCCTCGAGCGCTCAGCACCAGAACGCCCAAAGACACGGGCGTGAAAGGTGTATGTCTCATCAATCTCGGGTATTGCAGGTTAGATGCACCATTGGACAGAGGTGTTTTTGTGTTCCACTTGAATCTACAGAGAAGCTAGTGTTGTGGTAGAAGTTGTGCTGGGACACTGTGGGTGAACATCCTTATAGCCACGAACCGCGAAGCAGTTTGGCTTCCAAGGGAGGCTAGTGTAAGTTGTTCAATTGGCTTGCCGAACAGCAACATGGGACGCAAGACTATAGGCTTTGGACAAAGGTATGTCTTGCAGAACCTATATAAATAACATATATCATATATATATATACCAGGACACCCTAAGGGGTGTCTATTGATAGCCCCTTAGAGGTGATTCGGGGTGTCCATTAACCACCCCTTGTGGGTCCTAGTATATGTTTGTGGACCGTTTTGGGGGGGTGATTCTGACCGTTCTGACGTTCCGTTCTGACGTTCCGTTCCGGTTCTCAGGACGACAGGCGCCATGGGATCTGAACATGTCCCCCAATCCGATCCTTTCCTTGTTGGATCCAGGCGTTTCTTGCAGGCATCACCCCACCATAGAAACGCCATGGATAGACACCGCCGAGGCGATCCATAGGCCCATGGCATGGAAATGCACTGAGCACTCCTAGAGCACTGATCCTTGTTCTATCAGTTGTTGGGACTTAGCTGAGTGAAACTTGGATTGTCCCATCATTCTTTTTGCGATTAGTGAAGATCCACCATATGTTGGAAATCTTGGGCAGGGGAGCAATCCCACGTGAGTGTACAAACTCTGAAGCTTGTGAAAAGAGCACTAGAGTGTCTCACGATGCTCGATACTAACACAAAGACACCAGATGTCCTACCCCCCGAACGAATCACGCTTCAAAACTTCCAGAAAGAGCACTTGATCTTCAAGATGTGGGGCATATAAGGCCATATACTTATAAAATTAGCATAAAACTAGCCATACATATCTTCATAGTATCTGACGGCTCCGCCGGCGGTTGTGGCCACCCTCGATCGATCGAGTGCCCTGCTGCTCGCTGCGGCGATGTGCCGATGATCTTCGCGGGCAGCCGCGTGTCGGTGCGGCCGAATGCGCTGCAGTCGACACACGAGAAGCTCGGGACGAACTCGGGACGAATGGGCCAGTTCGCGCGTGCAGGCTTGCTGTGTGCCGGTGCAGGCTTGTAGCTTTCAATTAGAATCAAGTAGGCATTATATGATACGAAATGTTGTTGATTTACTTGGTTTTGCTTAATGGTGATATGTTATTTTCCCTATGGTTAAATCCCCATTCTAGGGAAGATTTGTTTGTTTTTTTACCGGTTCCAAACGAGCAAATCCAAGTTGATTGGCAATGACTCTTGGTGTCACTTGATTTGTCACATCTCCATGTTGTTCCGTCCACCTCCGTCGTGGTTTCCGGGTTCACCAAGTAGCATAGAGTCCTGGTGGAGTCCGGATGTGGAGGATGTGGTGCTGCTTGCTTCAGGAATATACGACAAGAGGTTCAGAGGTTCCAGATCTATTTGCAGTGGATTTAAAAGTGAATGTTTTGCAAAAGTGGTGGCTTAAGTCTTAAGTACAAAGTGGTGCTTTGCTGGAAGTGCTGCTCGCTATTTGCAGGCTGAAACAGCAATTCGGAGTGAGGTCATTTGCTAGTGAGCAGGGTTCCATGAAATAAGACACCCGCTGAGGGTTCACCATGTTTCACTATTGATTTTAGTGTTTTTGATACCGATCTATAAATGCTGGCAGGTTCTTTGACCCCATTGCATGTCATGGTTCATATCCAAGTACATCATGAATCAGAAAAGTGTTGCATATGTGAGGCACATCATGTTTTCGCCAATAGCACCTGAAAGGTCCTAAAAGCAGCCTGCCTACATATCTATGTGTAGCCATTTCAGTCGCAGCACCAGCAGCGCTACCGTTCTTGGTACCAGGCCACCAGTTGCCGTCATGGGTTCTCAAGCAAAAGAACCACTCTTGGAGGATACACCGACATGCTGTTGTGGCTTGAAGCGAGACTTCAGAAAGTGGATTCAGTGGAGAGGGACTGGTGGAGGGCAAAATCGTAGAGCGTGGCAAAGTCTGTGCTCAGTTCTTTTGGTCGCTGAAATGCTCCTTTACTTCTACTTTGTGAAACATTCCACCATGCTGTGCTTGATTGGAGCAATATTTCTCATTAAGGCCCTTGTTGAGATTTGGGGACAAGAAACAGCAACATGGATTTGCCCAGGGACTCTTTGTATGCTCTTTGTAGTTTATGTTCTCGGTTTCCCGTCGGTGGTGGCATATATGTTTGGATACTGCACCATGACATCGGACGTCCATTTCAAGGGTCGCGACCTCCTTGGGCTGGCCTTGTACCTGGGCGGCTCCTGCTATTCGCTTGCCTACGAGGTGGGACGTTTCCAATGGAAGGCCAAGCCTGAAAACAAAGGGAAACTACACACCGTGGGCCTGGCCGCTTGGTGTATTCATCCCAACTATTTCGGAGACTTCTTCACCTACACGGGCTGGGGCTTAGCTTGTGGAACCACTTGTGCTTTGAGCATTCCTATGATGATGATCTGGACTTTTGTCGTGTTTGTTGTTCCCAACTCCGACGATTATTTGGCCAAGCGCTATCCAGAGCAGTTCCCGAGCTATGCTGCGAAAACGGCCACGCTGATTCCTGGACTTCACTCCAAGGTCATGAGTCAGATTCTGGCATGGCTAGGGTTGGTGATTTCTATTTACTGTTGGTGCTACACCTGTCCTGCACCCTGTGGCTACTAGGCGCTCGCTTTGAAGCAGCCGATTCGCAGCATTCGCAGCAGGTCAAAAGAGACAAGAAGACAACCCGGCCAGCAGGGCTCTGAAGCAGTGTAGAAGTAGACGACATGGGCTATTATCATGTTTCATTTTCATCTCCAACATTCGGGGAAGATGGGAAGCTGCATGGTCTATTTATACCAGGCTTTGTGTTCAATTTGGGCGGCCCCGAGAACAGTGGGGTTCACCAGTCCGACCGATCCAGGAAGGATTCCAAAAAGCCTGTTTAGAGACAGAGAGGTCCTCAGAGAGGTGTGTCGAGAGAGGTGTGTATTGAAATCGTTTGACCTCCCAGATTTGACCCCAAAGTCTCCCTATTTTCAAATACACTGAGAGACTTGTGAAATGTTTGACTTGTCTATGTCCGTTCTACGTTTCTTCATCTCATGTTTTTTCTTCCAGCCCAGCTCCCCCCCCAGCTCCACGCAGTGTCTCCATGGGTCCCTGTCACGATGCTGGGTCTGCCCGGTCCACTACTGGGTCGGTCCGTCCATTCCTCAAAGGTACGACGGAGCGCGCGCCAACGTCTTGCACTACGATGCAGAGAAGTGTCGTGCCTCGGCGACCAGGTCGCCACGGTATACGGACGGTACGAGGACTGGAGAGGTGCGCACGGTACGAGGTCGAGGGAAGCACGGTGAGTGCGAAACGAGTGCACCAGGAGTGAACGTAGTGAACCGGGCTTAAGCCTGGGATTTGGGGGCAGCGCTCCGGTGGAAAGTGGCAAAAGCCTTTCTTGGGCCATTTTCAGGCAGCTAAACAATGAACCGGTGGACAGTTGTTGAGTGCTTTTGTTGCGCTCCGTGGGTTCACGACTGGATGGCTTGCAGGAACCTTGTTTCTAGCTACCCGATTTCACACCTTTTGGAGGAATTGGTGCTGACGAACGAAGTGACAGGCTCGAAGCCCCCCAACAAGACTGCCTAGTTCCCATGTGAGTCCTTCATGGAAGTCCTTGGGTGTGTCCCATTTCCTGAGATGTCGGCAGATGTCGGCCAACCCAAAGCACCACCCACTGGGCCTTGAACAAAATCGGCTCTACCCCTGTTTGGAAGTCCGAAAAGAACAAATACACGCCGACGTGGAGTCGCCCTCCGCAGGTTATGCGTTGCAGCTGATCCATCCAGACTACCAAGGCCTTTCAGATCCCAGACACGACTAATGACCGATGGGACTGGAATATATTTTTTAAATATATATATATATATATGTGCCCACATTGACCCGCCAAACCACCCCAACTGATCGGCAAAAATGCCAGTCACATGGAGTGTCTGGGGGATTGCAGTTGTTTGTTTGGTCTTCTCAAATTGGCATGGTATGGCATGGTTTCCTCCTCAGCATCACCGCCTTCCAAGTGCCCTGCGGTGCCCTGAGAATGGCAAGTAAACAGCACATCTTGGCAACCAGGGAGGGCACCGCCATCAAGCATAGAAGCAATGCAACACCCCAAATTCTGGCACTATCAAATGGCTAGGACACCAGCCACCAGATGCCACCTGCGGCACCGATTCTGCCACGGCGCAGGCAAGCGGCTCCTTTGCCGAAAGGACGGTCTGCTTTGTGCATGAACTGGATGGCGTGCTTGGCGGAAGCCAATGAATCTCCACCTCGCTGGATTTGAGGATTTGGCATCACATTCGGAAAGTAGATCCAGTGCTTGGATGGTCTCAGTCAGTTTAGCCCTGGTTAACCACTGAAAATGAACCGAATACCCTCATGGACCAGGGCTTAGAGCTCAACCATGCTCAACCTACCAGGGCTTACTTAGAGCTCTGAATTTTGACCCACAGCCATCTGCCACAGGCCACACTTTTGCTGACCTAAAGCTTGTTGGAGTCCCTTCAAAGTGCTGGCATGAAGAATGGTGAGAACACCCACAGTTTATCAAACGATCGCGCAGACTCCATCCCAAACTCCCAACCTTTTTCCATCCCAAATCGGGTCGCACGGGTCGCCCCATCAATGGA